TGCACCGAAAGGTCACCGGTTCAATTCCTGGTAAGGGGACATACCCAGGTTGCAGGTAACCCGGTCAGGGGTGCATAAGGGAGGCAACCGACCCTGATTGATGTCTCTCTCTCTCTCTCCCCCTCTCCCTTCTCTCTCTCTAAAATCAATTCTAACATATTAAAAAAATAAGACCTAGTTGCTGGGTAGTTTTATTTATTTGCAGCAAGTAAAGGAGACAGGGGATTCACTCCAAATCTTGGTCTTCCCCCAGAGAGGCTTAGCCATTGTTTATACTACTATTTGGTTAATTACATGTTGTTTTCTTCTTTGCAGTTGGCTATACTTATCAGGTTGAGTTCCTGTCAAGCTCATCCTATTTAGGGCTGCATCTGCAAAATACTGTACTACATTTTAACATTTAGTAAGAATAGCATTTAGTAAGAGCCAGCCCAGACCTTGGGACTCTTGTCCTGTCTGACAAAGATCATGTTCTGAGGTACTGAGAGTTAGGAATTCAACATACTATTGTTGGGGGGGTGGGGGTCAGGAGATGGGGGTGCGCAATTCAACTCATAACACCAACTGATGTTGTTGATGCTTTAAAGCACTGACCATATTCCTCTTCTTGGAAGCTTTTCAAAGGTTCTCGTTGCTCTCAAGGTAAATCCAAGCTCTTAGCAGTGAAGGCCCATCAAAATGTGGTCCCTGCCACTTAACCCCTTGCTCTTTCTTCACCTTCCTGCCCACACTGCTTATGGTGTCTCTCTGCCTAGAATGGATCCTTTAACCTCTGCCCATGTGTCACTGAACATTCTGTTATCAGTGCTCATCACACACACCTGCCTCCTAGGGCCTAGCATAGGGTTTGACACAGCACTCAATACATTTTTGTTGAATGAATGTATGGAGACAATTATTTCCAAGCCTTTTTAAAAAAAAAATAAAAAATTATATATATTTTTAAATTCAAGAGAAGCGTTAGCTTGGAATTACTCATATATGAAAGTCTTTCTGTTGGGAGCAGGCTTTTGTACTCCTGCCAATCTGGTTCCTGCTCTGCCCCCTGGTGGTGGCCCTGCGCCGGGCAGGAGACCGAAAGGACCATTTAAGGTATTTCCGGAAACCGGGAGCTGGCGACTCAGTTCATTTATACACCCACAATGCATTGCACATAGGCTATTTTCTACTTTAAAACATTTAGATTATGTTTCTTTCAACTTTTCCCCCTCACTAAACATGCCACTGCTTTCACAGAATTGTCTGAACTTAGGGCAGAAACCATTAGCTCTTTTGTGGAAATAGTTACCATTGCTCTTCCAGGAGTTACAGTTACCTGAGGACTGTGCGCCACGCTGTGCGAGGCATGCTCTGGTTTCTCTTCAGATCGCATAAATCTTTCGCCTTTTACTAAAGATTTCCGTGGAGAGGAACAATTCTGAGTTATTACTCAATTTTTTGAGGTCTTGCATTCGCAGGACTTATAAGAGTGTATGAAAGTTAGGCGTGATTTTTCTCGGTTGCGTTGGTTATGCATTTGTGACTTTAGTTCTCTAGGTGTATTAGAAGGGGAAGGTTGCTGTTTTCTTCAAACACAGGGAACAATGACATTTTTTTCTTCTGTGTTGAGGATGTCAGAATTCTTAGCGGCACCTTTAGTAGGTGGTTCAGGCTCGGGTGCGGGATGTGTGCGCCAGGGGCAAGGGCGTGGCTGTTCCTTTTGCCTGCTTGTCCCAGGGGCGCAGGAACAAAGCAGATTGGTGGGCCGGGTACACGGATGGAGGAGGAATGGGTGCCTGAGTCTCCTCTAGTGCTCCGAGGGATCCAAGGTCCCGTGTTACATACTAGGTTGTCTATAGAAAAACATTCATGTCTCAGGCGTGCTCTGGAACGTGCAGCTTGTTTGCAATTGTGTGTTCCTGTTGGAGTGGGGGTGCTGACCCCGATCGAGCTAAGGAAGGACAGGCGCCCCCCCTTCGGAAGGACGGGGAACAAGGGACCCTTAATGTAATCACACCACCTCAGTAAACACAGTTACAGTTTACATTTTAATTATACTTAAGGTTTGGGTTTTTTTAATTTAATTTTTATTTTTATTGATTTCAGAGAGGAAGGGAGAGGGAGAGAGAGATAGAAACATCAATGTTGAGAGAGAATCATTGATCAGCTGCCTCCTGCACATCACCCACCGGGGATCAAGCCCACAACCCAGGCATGTGCCCTTGACCGGAATCGAACCTGGGACCCTTCAGTCTGCAGGCCGACGCTCCATCCACTGAGCCAAACCGGTCTGAGCAAGAGCTCATGTTTTTAATTAAACTATGGTTACCTCAGACAAGTGGTTTCCAGATTTTTGATTTTCCAATTATTAAAATTTCCAAAATATTTCTGGGCTACAAAAATTTTTTAACCATTTTTCTACAAAAGAAAAGCCATTTCAGGACTAAAAACAGGAGAGCCTCATAGCCTTCTGGGAAACCGTCTCATTTCCTCCCCTCCCCCTCCTCCTGCCTTCAACCAACCAGCCTCCCATCAGTGAGGGACATGTGCAATGTTTATTGAGAATATCAGCTTCTGCATGTGGGCAGTAGATATTGAAAGTTATATGTTTTACAGAAAACATCTTTAAAAGATAAACACTCAAGTCCCTGTATCTACATGAGGAAAACATTCTGAAAAAGGCTTTCATAGGAAAGAAAATTCAAGAAGACATTGTAATTACAAGAATCAATCCCCTTAGGTAAGCTTTATTACGAAGAATTGTGTTTAGCAAAAAACAAAACAAAACAACATGCCGAAACCGGGTTGGCTCAGTGGAGAGAGCGTCGGCCTGCGGACTGAAGGGTCCTGGGTGCGATTCCGGTCAAGGGCATGTACCTGGGTTGCGGGCATATCCCCAGTGGGGGATGTGCAGGAGGCAGCTGATGTTTCTAACTCTCTATCCCTCTCCCTTCCTCTTTGTAAAAAATCAATAAAATATTTTAAATATATATATATATTTAAAATATTTTATTGATTTTTTACAAAGAGGAAGGGAGAGGGATAGAGAGTTAGAAACATCAGCTGCCTCCTGCACACTCCCTACTGGGTATGGGCCCACAACAAAGGTACATGCCCCTAACTGGAATCAAACCCGGGACCCTTGAGGCCTGGGTCCGCAGGCCGACACCCTATCCACTGAGCCAAACCGTCAGCGCTGTGTAGATTTCTTGTAAGTCACATTAAGATTTTTTTCATCACTAATGTTAGCAAGATTGAGTATCAAAAAAAAAAAAAGACTAAAAACAGTGCAGAATGACTTGAAACCAAATGACAGGACCCTTCTTTAAAATAGGAAATCCATTTAGCTTTATGGAAATACCTATTTTGTAACCTTCCTTTCCTCCAGCCCAAACATAGGAAAACTGGGGATCAAAATCAGTTTAGCCAAAGGCTGAGCCGCCTTAGATGGACAATATCAGGCTGGTAGTGCCCTCTTGTGTCAGCCTGGAGAATTACTGCCATCTGACTTCATTTCCTCTGCCTTTAACAATTCCTTTAGAATTACCTCCGTTATTCATTCATGCATACCTGGCATTGATCTCAATGTTTGGGATACATCAGTAAAGAAAAAAAATAAATAAATACAGCCTAGCCAGTTTGGCTCAGCGGATAGAGCGTTGGCCTGGGGTCTGAAGGGTCCCAGGTTCGATTCTACCCAAGGGCACATGCCCAGGTTTCAGGCTAGATCCCCAATAGGGGGCGTGCAAGAGGCAGCTGATCAATGATTCTGTCATCATTGATGGTTTTATCTCTCTCTCCCTCTCCCTCTCTGAAATCAATAAAAATATAAAAAATATATAAATACATATATCTAGCCCAGCTGGTGTGGTTCAGTGGTTGAGTGTGACCCATGAACTAGGAGGTCATGGTTCAATTCCCAGTCAGAGCATATGCTAGGGTTTTGGACTAGTAGGGGTGTACAGGAGGCAGCCAATCAGAATTATCTCTTATCATGGATGTTTCTATCTCTCCCTCTCCCTTCCTCTCTCTGAGAATAATAAAACATATTTTTAGCCCTGGCCGGTTTGGCTCAGTGGCTAGGGCATCAGACCTTGGACTGGAAGGTCCTAGGTTAGATTCCAATCAAGGGCATGTACCTTGGTTGCCGGAACATCCCCAGTAGGGGGTGTGCAGGAGGCAGCTGATGAATGTTTCTCTCTCATCAATGTTTCTAACTCTCTATCCCTCTCCCTTCCTCTCTGTAAAAAATCAATAAAAATATATTTTAAAAAGAAACAAAAAAGCCGAATGAGCACGAAGTGACCATTTTTTTGGGAAACATAATTAAGTGAAAAGTAATAGCTGCGAGCACACCGAGACAGTAAGAAATTTCCAGCCGAAACCGGTTTGGCTCAGTGGATAGAGCGTCGGCCTGCGGACTGAAGGGTCCAGGTTCGATTCCGGTCAAGGGCATGTACCTGGGTTACGGGCACATCCCGAGTGGGGGGTGTGCAGGAGGCGGCTGGTCGATGTTTCTCTCTCATCGATGTTTCCAACTCTCTATCTCTCTCCCTTCCTCTCTGTAAAAAAATCAATAAAACATATTAAAAAAAATACTTATATCTACATATCTAATCTCTATATCTTATTTATCCTTATCCTAGTGGAGCTTACATTCAGGGGGAGAGATGATGAATGAATGAATGAATGAATGAATGAATAAATAAATAAATAACTATGGAAAAAAATGGCATGCTAAAGGGGTGGGGGTCATAGTGTAGGGAGTGGTATAGTGCGGGTTGCAACTTAAGAAAGAGTAGCCCTCAGCCCTGGCTGGGTAGCTCCGTTGGTTAGCGCATTGTCCCGGTATGCCATGCTTGAGGGTTCGATCCCCGGTCAGGGCACATACAAGAATCAACCAATGAATGCCTAAGTAAATGGAACAACAAATCAGGGTTTCTCTCTCTGAAATCAATTAGACAAAAAGGAAGAGGTGATTTTGTGTGAGTTGAAAAGAGATGAGGGCGTTGGCCATGCAGCTAGAGATCTGGGCGGAGAGGGTCTGAGAACAGAACCTCTCTCCCTGTTCACCAGAAAAGCCAGCACAGCGGTCCCACGGCAAGAGCTCCTTAAGAAACAAACAGCCAGCCGAAACCGGTTTGGCTCAGTGGATAGAGCGTCGGCCTGCGGACTGAAAGGTCCCAGGTTTGATTCCGGTCAAGGGCATGTACCTGGGTTGCAGCGAGCGTGTGGGAGCCTGTGAAGGGGAAAGAGAAGTAGGAGATAGTCCGGAGGTAACGGGATTAGCGCACCAAGGGCCTGCTCTCATTGCCTCTCCCTCCGCATCCACACACAGAGAACAGATCCGCGG